AGTTAAAATGAAGTTACAGTCTTCCTACAAAAAATAAATTAATAGAATTTCATTTTTACTGAATGTAAAATACCGACGATATCAAGAAAAGCATTTTTCATATCTGTCCACCACGGCGGGATATTTCCATAGGGCAAATCGAGAAAACCGTGTGCAGTTATTTTTGTTGGTTTTGAAGCATCCCATGAGCCAAGTCCTGACGTACGACTAATTTCTTCACGTTTGTTTCGTGTGTTTCTAGAAGGAGAACAGTTCAATGTACACTTGCGATTTACATATCTCATCAAAATACCTTGTGTAAAGAAAAAATCTGGTACCAATAACACTTGGCTAAAAAATAACTTACGTAGTATAGAATAAATGTTTTCTTCTTTTTCAAGAATACGTACCGAAGCTGGTAAGATATTGAAGGGGCGCTCGAGCGTATTGCCTGTTAACGGAAAAGCGAAATGCATTTTTTTAACTCAGTTTTTTCATTAAACTAATAAAAAAACTTTTTAAGAAATTTCTGGAAACCGGTTGCAGAATTCACTTGAAGGCGTGGCTTTTCCGTTGTTTTTAAACAGCAATAAAATCTTTCAAAACTTTTTACCGTATGGTGACGCTGTTGTATAGCAACCATACTCGTCATAACATACGGTTAACGGTGTTGCTGATGCACGAACTTGTCGTACTATAAAAGAGTAATAATGCTCGATAGAATACTAAAAACCGGTGTACAGAATCAAGCGAACCGTTGGCAGCAGTAATTATTGATGGTGAGAGAACAACGAGAAACAAGAGACGAAACATTGTCTGTCAACAAGAAACGTTAAACAGTCCTTACTCCGTAATTTAAATTTGTTTCTTTATCTTTTTATCAAGTGAGAATAATTACATCTGGGTGTGTGTAGACGATTAGATACTTTGTTTTCTTTATTTTTTTCACTTACATACGAATGCAGCCAAACCAAAAAATTTATTTTATAAATATCATTTGCGTTTTTTCAATTCAAACTTCATGATAAACCAGATATAATCAGAATTTTCAAAGTCCGAGCTTCATTCAACGAATTTTTTGGCGGTATCCAGCACAAAAGTTCAACACTATTCGTAATAGACCACTCAAAAGACCAGAAAATTCTCTACAATTCAGTATGAATAGATGTCTTCTGATAATAGAAAAACGGCAATTTTTCTAAACTAAAACTATCGAAAAACATAAAGACAATTTTGTACGAATATAGATTCGAACACACGAACTTAGCTTTGCAGTAAACTGCAAAACTAAATCCACTGTTCTGTGTCTCTATGTACAACAATTGAAGTTGTGCAATTGACTCGATGTTATCAGTAGTAATTTTTTTGGTAAGCTATCTTTTCCTTCTTGTTAAGGAAAATATGGCGAAACTGTTTACAATTTATGAGAAAACGCGTATGAATAATTAATTCTGACATTTATAATTTAAAGTGTAGAATTTGTATTTGTGTTAAAAGTACTAAAGTGACTTGTCGCTCACACAAGCTGGTAGAGAAAGACTTAATAATAGCATTACTCTTGTTGACGTCTTAACAAGCAGGAATGTAATTTTGTTTTTGTAGCAAAAATGGATGAACGGATGACTGTCTTAGGAGGACCTTCAACTGATTTAAAGTGGTTTTGCATAGGAATTAATCGTTTTGAAGAAATGATAATGAAAAGTTTAAACAAATCGCGTTTAATTATATGTTGATAAAGCAAGAAGTATTGTATCCATATTACTTCAAACCGTTTACAGACACGTAAGCTTAAGAATTTATCTTATGCTGTACTTCTGATTAGCAGATGAAATAGATGGATATAATGCGAGTTTTAGTAAGACGCGCCAAACTGGAAGTTTAAGTACTGTTTACTGTACTGTTGTTAACTAAATTATACATCACTCGATAGAGCGTTTCGAGTTGATCAAGAGTCAGAATTTATCATCAGTTTCTAAATTTTCTGTGTTTTGATCAATGGTAATGACATTTTACATAGTGATCATTTGATCATTTGTTCAAATATTTGCTTTTTCTCTTAGTTCCAAGATAATCACTTATCAATAATTCATTTATTCTTTCAACATCTTGACAACTAAATGTTTTTATCTTATCTATTTTATTTTATGTTAACTCTGATGTTTTACGAATACTACGGTTTTCAGACTCTTTTTATCTAATCTTAAAAGATTCACTTAAAACACATCAGAAGAAGCACAAAATCTCAGGATATCATTAATATTGTCTACTAAACGTGATTATAAGATCGAAAAAATCTTAAAACATAGTTTAGTTAATAGGTTTTCCAAAAATCCTTTTGGAAAGCCTTAGGGTGTTTTAAAATTTATTCTGAGATCTCCTAGAAACATGATATAGAATAGCTTAAATACTCTACATTCTGAAGTTTTGAAATCGTTCTGATGTTTTCTGAGTGAATAGTGAATTTTTTAATATTAGATAAGGCGCACGTAATTCAAAAGTGGAGTACTATTTTATTTTTGATTATGGTATTCTACCATCAACTTTTAAGGCGCAGAAATATTGAAAACCAAATAGCCTCATCAGTTCCAGCCGCTATCTTCTCAAAAATATATAGGGCCATTTTCTTGCAGAAACTGTCCACTGTTCGTTATTTCGGCATCTGCAAAACATAAAACTGCGGTAACGAGTAGAGGATAAGGTTCATGTAGTCGATGACATCCACGTTTTATCTGATAGGCTTGCTAGTTAATATAGAGGTAACGATTACCATATTTCCAGTAAAATTCAATGAGCCGAGTTTTCGGTAATATCTTGATAAGACTTTCACCTCTCACATGTTATTTTTTTAAAAAATATCTTCTTGCCTCATTATTTTCCTGAGCCCATGATGAGTCT